CTCCAGGCACATGCCATATCCTGGTGTGCACTCTCCCACGGCGAACTGGCAAAGTACAGGGCCAGCAAACGCAGGCCCAGCAAGAAGTACCAGTGCTCCAGGCCTTGCCACAGCTTAGCCTCCGACAACGCCGACAGCACCGGTTGCAGTAGGTTCAATAGCGTCGAGATGATGTCCAACATCTGGCGGGAGACAGGCATGGTGTGGAGTGACACAGGACACAAGCAGGGGACGACAACACAACCCACATGCCCCCTGCGGCAGAGGTAGCTAGCGAGCTTTCATTCCTTTGGGTTCTTTCTTTCTGTCTGTCCCAGGGCTGGGCGACACTGAGAACTGACACCAGCATAGCCGCACACCCCTGAGTGACGTAGTTAAGCTGACCTAACCTCTGGTGTAAACAGCGCTAGGTCAATGGCAGAATTGTTCCGTCAACCGAGATACTTCCTGTCGGGGCAGTGGATTAATTACGATGACAGGAGAACCCCTCCCGTAGGCATCAGTCATGTCAACACGAAGGAGCTACAGCTATGACACTCCCACGTTTCAAGACAAGCCCTTAGATTCCTAGATTCTAAATTCAGAAGGGACCATTGGCGTCATCTAGTCTGACTCCTGTATGGCACAGGCCAGAGACCAGCCCTGAATTAATTCCCATTTAAACTTCCTTTCTCTCCTTCTCCCTCCCTTCTTCTCTTCATTTCGCCTTCGTCCTCATTCTTCGCATTATTGTAATAATTATTTATTATGGATATTTTTGGCTACACCTACAGACCTGGACCAAGTTCAGGGCCCCGATGGCTCCAGGTGCTGCACCGATTTTCCCTACCAAGTCCAAGGTCTGGCCCAACACTCTGCTTAGCACTGCGCAGATGCCCCTCCACCCCCCTCAGGCCAAGATCAGGGTCCCCGTCTCCCTGGGCACTGCGCAGACACACAGTGAGAGGCAGTCCCTGCCCCAAAGAACCCCCAGTCTTTTTTTCTCATTCCCTTGTTCTCACTGTCTCAGTTCAGTCTAGCTTCCAGTAGATTCCCATCCCCCTTCACGCACACCCCATTTCCCTGATACCTTTGGGTGAGATTCTCTCCTCTCTCACTCTCTGTCACTCTTTTCTCTCCTTCGTCCTCAGATCCTCTATCTCGCCGGGCTATGGGATCCAACCCCCAGGGTGAGGGGAGCTCCAATTCTACCCACAGGACCAGCGTACATCGAGTCAAACAGCCAGAGAAGGGGAAGCCGCAGACTGAGAACGATGCCAGAGCTATCGTCAAACCATTAACATCTTCCCACCTACCTGGCTCCCCGCCCTTTCCTAGATCAACTGGCAAAGGGATTATCTGCTCCACCTATTCTGGCAGGGATCACTGCTGGGATAGAGCCCAGGAGTCCTGCCCAAACTCCCACAGTGGAAGTAGAAGCCAGAAGTCCAGAATCTCAGCCAACCCTGCTCCGATCCACTAGACCCCACTCCCCTTCCACAACCAGGGATAGCATCCAGGAGTTCTGGCTCCCAGTCCCCCGTTGTAACCCACTAGGCCCCACTCCCCTTCCACAACCAGGGATATCACCCAGGAGTTCTGGCTCCCAGTCCCCCTGTTGTAACCCACTAGGCCCCACTCCCCTTCCACAACCAGGGATAGCACCCAGGAGTACTGGCTCCCAGTCCCCCTGTTGTAACCCACTAGGCCCCACTCCCCTCCCAGAGCTAGGGATAGAAAATTTTAAGTGTAATTATGAACATATAGGAAAAAAATCATATCTATGTTTGTATTGACAGAGCAAAGTGAGGCTGTACACTCAATTCAATGGCATCCCTCTGCCCCACCCCAGGGGTGGCCACATCTCAATGCCAGGAATGGGGTACCTGTATAAACAGCCCT